AGTGAATCATATTCTCTTGCTTTCAATTTAGGTTTCAATGTTGATTTTGGATTGATTGCTGTTAATGTTCTTAGATTCTTAGAGTGACAACCCAGACTTAATCATATTCTCTTGATTTCAATTTAGGTTTCAATGTTGAGTTTGACATGACTATTGTGAATGTTCTCAAGTTTTGAATGAATTTGACTGAAAAACTCTAGTTAGTCATGTTCTCTTCTTTTTTATTTAGGTTTCATTGTTTATTTTGTACCATTACTGTGAATGTTCTCAGATTTTGAATGAATTTGAGTCAAAATCCCTAGTTAATAATATTCTCTTGCTTTTGATTTCAGTTTCAATGTTGATTTTGTTTTTATAGCCGTGAATGTTATCAAATTTAGAATTCATGAGAATGACATTGGATTGATTCTTTTAGGAAATATTCTTAGTGTTAATATGTTGTCTATGTTGATTTTCCTTACTGAAAATCAACTCATCAAAACGCCAAGACTAAAGCGTAATGCAAAGAAAACAATAAGAAAACGTAAAGAATCAACTTCGAGAGAGCAAAAGCTAAAGGAAAACGTAGAGAATGGAAAGTACCTTTCACATCAAACATGGTGACAATAGTGAAGCTATTACAACACATCAAACTCAGGAACAAGCATATTAAAGGGTTGAAGAAAGCCCCATTCTAGTTATTGTTTGATGCAATATTGAAAAACAAGTTGAATTATAAACAATGTAAAAAATACGATGATATTGCATTCAAAATAATTTAAACATACCAACCAAGCAGCAATGGTTCTTTCCAGTTAAGACCAGAAACTGTAAAGCTAACAACAAAAGACATCAAGTCCATCTTTGGTATATCTTGTGGAGATGAGCCGATGCATCTTGGTTATGGAAATAAAAGTATATCATCATTCCTGAAAAGAAGATCCATACAAACTGAAAGGCTATCGAGCACAACCATCAGGGACTTGTTGCAAAAAACATTGAAAGGCAACAAGAAAGAAGACATCGAAGATATAATTAGGATGCTGTGTATATATACTTGTTTGAAGATTTTTTTCTTTACATCAAGAACAACAGTTGGATGGGTATTTCTTAATTACATGGAAGACATAAACTCAATGAAAAAATACAATTGGGCAGAAGTAATAAGAAACACATTGATGTCTTCAATTGAAAAGTAACACAAAAATCCAACATAAGTCATAGGATGTGTTATGGCTCTCCTAGTAAGTACATCTTTACTTTATTCTATTAGTTTGTTGTTAATAACAAAAAGTATTATTTCTTATTCAAATGAAAAAAATTCTTTACATTTGCTTTGCAGTATTGGGTTGTGAGCACACGCTGATCATCCACCCAGAAGTTAGCAAAGCATGCTCAAGGGTGATCAAGTGGAATCTTATCAAATTACATAAACGTTTAAAAGTCATATCACTACATGAGCTGACAACAAGACATGTCACATCTTCATCTCATTTGAATTTCAATTCAAGTTAGGAAAAATCCCTATTTTTAAACACTGAATTATTACTGAGAAACTTTTTAGTTTCCTAAACTTCAATTATTTTAAAAACTAATATCTACTATATATTGACCTATAGGTAACTAGTGCTCAATTGAGTGAGAAAAGTGATGAAGAACTTGATGACACTGAAGAAGAAGAAGAAGAAGAAGAAGAAGAAGAAGAAGAAGAAGAAGAAGAAGAAGAAGAAAAAGATGCTAAAGAAAAAAAAGAAGATGCTGAAAATATTGAAGGAGAAGAACAAGAAGATGCTGAAGAAGAAGAAGAACAAGAAGAAGAAAAAAAAGATGCTGGACATACCGAAGAAGAAGAAGAAGAACATGGTCAAGATGTTAAAGAATGCCACCAAGAACAAAAGGCAGCAAATAAGAAATTATAAAATTTTGAAAGCACAGAAACTTCTAGCTACATGAGAGATGAATGGGATGTCAATCAACAAGACACAAACGGAGACTTTGATGGCTTGTGCAACATTATGATCAATGATGTACCTGAGGGAGAAGAACACATTCATCAACAAACATTTGAGAAAATTCAAATTGAGAACAACAATTTGCAACTTGACAACATAGTGAAGACCGTCTACATAAATAGACTTAAAGAGGATAACAGGCTGCTCCTAACACAAATACAACAATTGAAAGATGAAAATTCTCAATTGCATAACCAATTGGTTGAAAAAGAGGTCCATGACATAACCCAAGAAGTTTGTGGAGGAAAGAATTTTGGGACAAATGCAAAGAATGAAGGTCATACAATAAATGATGAAAATTCTCAAGTGGTGCAGAAAAAGGTCCATGAAAATTCTGAAGTGGTGGACAAAGAGCTCCATTAGAAAGAGGTCCATGAGATAACGCAACAAGCTTTTGCAAGAAAAGATTGTGAGACAAATACAAATGCAAAAGATTGTCAAAATTCTCAATTGCAGATTAAGTTAGTGGAAGAAGAGGTCCATGACTTAACCTAACATGTTTGTGCAATAAAAGACGATGATCTGACAGAATCAAGACAAACAAATTTGCAGAATTCCATGATTAAAAAGATCAAAGCTAAAGCAAGGAAGACTACTGAGATACTAGATTATGAATATGGAGGCAAGAAAGTTAAAGTTGATAAAGAGAAGGAACACAAAGATAAGACAATTTCTAACAAGTATGTTGTGGCTCAATTGCAACCTCCTGAAGATAAATATAAACTACAAATTCTTTCGAAAGGAAAGCAAACAGAATCAAGGTATAATCTTACACAAATCTTACAATTTTTCATATAGTACAAAATATGAAATGAAATTAAGAAATAACTCTGTTTTCTAAAAATATATTTTGAATTAATTATCAACACATTTTTTATGTTGTTTTGTAGTGCTTGTATATGGTTTGGCGCAAGATATGTGTTTATTAATGATATCAAGAGCTTGGTAAAAGGGAACAGCATATCCAGCTGTGTACGTATAAAATTTGTAATATTTTAACATTGAAAAACTTCTCATTAATTTATTAACATCACTTTTGTGTTCCCATTTCACAGACAATTTATGCATATGCTGAGATTCTTAAAAGAAAGCCATAAGCACAAAATTCTGGTGATGGAGTAGAGCACAATGGCAAGTCTTTCGTACTGTCAAGTCTATATTGGGTAAGGAATAAATGTTTATGTGTCAATTCTATACTTTATCTTCCTTTCGATTTTGGTTTCAAAGTTGATTTTTTGTGTTTGTTATCATTGTTGTGAATGTTCTCAAATTTTGAGTTTGGTATCATTGCGGGGAATATACTCAGATTTCGAAAAAATTTGAATGACAAACCGTAGTTAATCATGTTTTATTGCTTTTGATTGAGATTTGAATATTGAGTTTCATACCATTACTGTGAATATTCTCATACTCTTTTTTTTTTTTTTTTTTTTTTTTTTTTTTTGTAAAAAACAGCCAATGTTGAAAAATAAAACTTCAAAAAAAAGGAAAAAGATTTTGAAAAATACTTTGCAAGAATCCCTCACATGTAGGTACATCCATATCCCCATCCACAATTCCAATCATAGGACATTATTTGTTATCGACAAATACTTAAGGACTTGGAAACATTTCAACTCTTTCAGACCAAGGAAAGGAAAGGAAAGGACAAGCACTACAACGTTGCATATCAACTGGTAAGATAAATTTCAGATTACCATTACAATAATCATATGTAAATCATTACATACATTATATTGATGTTTTTTACACAAAAAACAAAATCATCAATGAATACATGAAGGATACACCTTGTCAAGCAGAAAAAGCATGGAATCCTGATGTGAAGATTGAATCAATCAAAAATTGCCCTCAACAAGAAGCAATGATATATGTTATGTTTATTCTAACTAACAAACTTTAATATATTTTTCAAATTTTTTTGTTTTTTCCCTAACTGTGTCAAAATGATTTATGTAGGGCTGACTATGGAATTATTGTTTGCTACATCATAAGACAATACATAAGGCATCAACCAATTCCAAGCACATTACCACCAGGCACATCTACAAGATTGAGAGCAGACATAGTACATAAGTTCCTCAGTGATCCACAAAGATCAATTAGAGTCAAGTATAGTCAAGATTGCAACATTCAATGAAATCTTTTTTGATATGTAACTCAATGAACTCTTTTTTGTCACACTCTGATACAATGACTAATGTTTTTGTTGATAGTTGCAAGCATATTGCCTCACAAACATATTACAATTTCTATGATGTGTAATGAAATATTTTGTCATACTCTCAAAGATATATGCACTAGGGCTTTCTTGACGTTTTTGTTCATATTTTTAGTTCTATTATCCTATTCGTCACACTACTATATGGGAAAAGTAAAAATAGTGTTACATGTGAGAATAGTGGACACAAGACTTTACTGTATTACAATCAGTGCTTTGTTAATGTTTTTCTTTATATTTTCAATTTTTATGTAGTGTTTTGTTGCTCACAATTACAAACAGAGAATATTTTCACTTTCAGTCCATTGTTACTTTATTCAAAACATAGAGCATTGATCACATCTATTTGGAATATTAATTCACATTCATTCAATTGATCACATTTATAACTAGTTCCAATTCATAACAAGAGCCTCAATATTATTATCACAAAATTAGCTATTTTGAACTAAAAACTTAAACTGAGAATATGTTCACTTTTTATATAATATTCACATAATCTTCAAAACAAACATTCAACAGCCAAGTTTATTTACAAAATCCAATTAAATAAATAATTCACATTAAAAACAAACACAAAACCAACCAAACAATATTATCACAAACAATTTTAAAACTAAAATTCGAAACGAAGAATATTTTCACTTTTAATAAAATGTCACTTTATTCAAAACATAGAAGATTATTACTCAGCTCTCAACAGTACAAACTGCTACTTCAAGAAATTTATGAATATGAAATTTTTACAACCACAAAACAGCTACAAAAAATCACAAAGCCTCCTTACACTATTTCTTGTTGTGACTGCCAATCTTCACATATCTACCACAAGTAATTTGCCTTACTTTCTCACCATTGGAACGAATCCTCTTCTTATTTGGCCTTCTCGGTTGCTTCCTAGACAAAAGCGGAAGAACAACATCACTATCACTATCACCATCAACATTACAATCTGGTTTCCGAATTGAAGGAACAGGATATATGGGAAAAGAATAGGACTCTCAATAACTTGGAACATAGAAGTATTGATCAACAAATAAACTCAAATCATGTCCACTCTTTTGTATAGAACCAACTGCATGTTCACATGGAAACCCTTTCAACTGCCACTCGCCATAAGAACATATTCGGCTACTAATGTCAACTGAAATAGATGGATGTGAATGCACCTCATAGACATCATTCCCAAATGAACTAACAATCCATGGCCTCAAAGTATTAAAAGCATCATGCAACTTGGACTCCATTTTGGAGCATATCACACCATTCCATTTATTAACAAGTTCCCTCCTCTTTGCAATTTTCCTTATCAACTTAATTATCAATCAATTTTGTGATAGGCAAATGACATTCCTCCCGTATCCATGAATTGAAAGATTCAGCTACACTTTACCACATCTCTCCAAAGCATTGCCCTCGAAAGTATGCATTACTCCAATGATCATATGGTATGTCATCTAAAAACTTTTTAACTCTTGACCCACCTTCAGTCTTTAACTCACCCAAACATTGATGAAATGTTTCTTCAGTTGAAGCATATGCACATTTCCCTAACAAAGTGATCAGCTTTTCCTTCAATCCATGAAACATACCACGCAAATGATGCCTCAAGTTCATCTTCAAATGATATAAACAATAAGGATGGAAAGCCATTGGGAAAACCTTTGGCAAAACTTCAACTAATCCAAAGTTACGATCTGACACGAATGTAATATTTTGTTTTGGTGAAATAATTGTACTCAAATGCTCCAAAAACCAATGCCAATTGTCTTGATTCTCTAAGCCAACAATTGCAAAACAAACAGGAAAGAACCCCGCATGTACAAAACATAAAAAATGAGAATATTCTATTATTCTTAGAAAATGGTAACACTTTAACATTCAAAATATCAAACACTGAAATGAATAACTATAAAAATAAAAAATGCATATACAATAACAATATTACATAAAATTTAAAACGTTCAATCATATTTCTAAATTGAGAACTTTCTCAATTTCAGAATAGTGAAAACAGATTTCTTGTGTACCTTGATTTCTATCTTTTCTTGTAGCAACAAGTAAATTTCCTCTAAATCTTCCCTTCAAAAATGTGCCATCAAGGAACAAGAGAGGTCCATAATAATCAAATCCACTAATAGAACCACGAAAAATAACAAATAATCTCTCAAACCGTTTAGTATCATCGTCACACTCAAACTCAATGTAACTCTCTGGATTGCAACTCTCTGCAACATCAACATACCATCTTAACTGGTTAAATGACATTAAGTAGTCTCCAAAAATATCACCCTTTGCTTTCTTTACCCCCAACCAAGCTTGGCGATAACTAACTCTTAGCCCATACCCCAACTTAAAATCCCAAACACCATGAACTGGATGTGTCAATGGATTATCACGAGCACCTTTAACAATCAAATTATTAACTAAATCAGAACTCATACAAGAATAATTCATTGTACGTACTTCAGCACTACATGTGTGGACGTTGTTGAGCTGCTCTATATAAAAGAACCCATTAGCATTCTCCACTCTACCATGAACATTCCACATACAACCTTCTATCTCTCTAAACAAATATTGTGTGGTAACACAAACTTTATCATTCTTAACAAATATGAACTCAAATCCACACTCAATAGAAAACTTCGATAATGCATTACGAAATTCAATAATTCCACCTTCAAATTTTTGTCCTACATGTGTAATACTAACTGCCCAACCAACAAACAACAGTACTTTTTCTTTGTGACGACAAAATAATGATAACATATCAACCTCTTCTTCAACCTCAAATCTTGAATTCCTCTTGGAGGATGTAGATGCTCTATTTGACAAGTTCACAGACTTACTATTGTCATAAGACAATGCAATATCACAAACTTCAAGCTCCAACATTAACTCTCTTTCTCTATAATCCAATCTTTTCTTCGGATAACCACAGTCAATGGTTTAGTTTTTTCCTCAGACAATAACATCAATACATTTTCAATCAAAATACACAACTAATGCCAACAACAATTCTAACTCCTCATTGTTGTCCAACGTACAACTAGGATGTCCAGGCAATGAGTAAGATAGGAAAATGTTATCAGATTGTAAACTATCCTATTTCAAACATAGCTTATCAACCAACTGATCATATGTAACATTTTGATCAATCTTAATTGCAAATGTGCAACCATTATACTTGCACAACAAAAAAATCGGGACACTCGTAGAACCTTCACTCATCTTTCAATCTAAACAAAAAAAAGATAGCATCAATAAAAACTAGAACAATTCTCAGTTTATTCAAACTACAAAACCAGAACAAATACTTTATAACAATACTAAGAACTTTCTCAATTTTCACAAATCACATTTTCAATCCATAAAATACCAAACACCAAACCGAGAAATCATCCAGTAAATCACATCTTCAATTTGTAAAATCAAAATTATTCAACATATTCTCATAAATAAATTCAATTAAAACTAATGAAAATTCTAAAAACACGTAATATACAAAATCAAAACAATACATACCTATAAACTAGATCGAAAATCAAACATCCAGCAAATCAGTTCTTCAATTTATAAATCGAAATCGCACATAACAAACTCCAATAGATTTCAACTAAAAAAACCTCAAATACGAATCTGTCAAAACCGAGAAATCAATTTATGTGTAATAGCAAACCAAACCAAGAAATCCTTCGTGATTCGAATCTTCATCTACTTCCATAATTGATTTGTTAACTAATTTTTTTTTTGATTTGTTTTTTTCTTTCTAGTAAATAACGACAATACTATTATATATACACTTGTTTGGGTTAAAGGGCAAAAACATCATTTTACCTGTAAATGGGACTTATTTATTCAATTTTTTTTTGACAAGACCTAAGCTACTATCAAATGTGTAGATAGGACTTTTAGGTAATTAATTCTTAAAAAACTTAAAATGACAATAAATTATACAAAAAAAAAGTTAAAGATTTTTTTTTTTCTCTCAATTTTTTATAAAAAGTCAAAAAAGTTATTCTAAACATACTAATTTTTTTTACCTCATATTTTTAGCTAAAAAATCAAAAATTACTAAAATATCTTGTTTCCAAACGAGACCTAGTAAAATAAAAGAGTTTAGAAATTATTAATATAAAAAATAATATAATAATAAATTTGGCATAATGATACAGCGCGAAATGCATAATAATAACAATTTAAAATTGTTTGATCCAACAAGAATACTAAAAGTAAGATTCTTCTGTAAACTCGATTCATAAAGAATACTGAGAATAAATGCTCAATAATGGTTGATTCACAAAGAATATCCAAAGTTGGAACAAAAGAGTATAAAACTTAAAATATATTAATTATAAAAAACTGAAGATCCCTAAGGTTTACATCCATTATTTACAAGCAAAGACATGCCTAACTTAACTAAGAAATAACCAGAATTGGCCAAAATCATAATGCAATACGGAAATAAGAAAATATAATGAAAATTACCAAAAATAGAAAATATTGCAATAAAATAAAGAAACTACTAATATATGCTTCCACGATCATGGTAGATTTTTTAGAATCGGCTTCTGAGGTCTGTGCTAGAAATAATTGAAGTTTCAAATCTTTCCAAAAACGGCAAATTCGTGACATTGACCACCCAAATGATGGAATATGCCCAAAATCCATTGGGGTCCATGAACATTGACCCACCAAATTTCACGCGATTCCGAATCCAACCCATTTTTGCCTTTTCCTTGCTTATCCATTTGATCCAAGAATTGTATAGTCATGTATGTTACATCACATAGCAAGTGGAGCACAAGAATGTCAAATTGGTAGATGACAACTTACACCAAAGCCTTACACTATGTTTGGGAAGTTAGGAGAGAAAAGAAAAGAAAAGAAATAAATGATTACTTAAGTTATAAGAGAAAAGAAAAAAAAATGATTACTTAAGTTATAAGAGAAAAGAAAAGAAATGATTGTGATTTATCTGCTCCTTGTTTGGTTAGATTTTATAAGAGAAAAGAAAAGAAACTGTTTTATGTTATATTAGCAAAATAACCTTTTTATATTTTGAGGACATGAGTGTCAATCATTTTATTTCTTTTATTTTTACAAGGACAAAATTGGTATTATAAAAATATAATAATCTGTTGGCTTTTTTTTCCTCTTCCAATCTCTCTACTTTTGGAAAGATTGAAAATGAGGGTTACAAGAGAAATAGGTTTCTCTTCGTTTCTCCCTATTTCTCTCCACTTAAGTTATCCAAACAATTAAGAGAAATACATATCTCTCAATTTTTTTTCTTTTCTTTCCAAATCACTCAATCCAAACATAGTGTTAAAAAAATTTGACATATCAAAATTTAAAATTTTAAGTGGAGACACTTTAATCCCATTCCAAGCACAAATAGTCCATTACATTATAATCTCCATATCTAGTCCATCCAAATATGACACGAGTAACGCTCATATTCTAGACTGTACCTTTGAAAATCAATTGAATACTTTTCAAACTGTTTGGAGAAAACAAACAAAGGGCCAATTCAAAATATCTGAATCTGGCACAAAAATAGCAGAAGTAGTTTATTCTCCCTCTTTGTGTGAACCTATTAGGAAACAATTTAATAGAGCACAATATATTCTAAAAATAATCTGAAAATGATGATCCAACAATCACACAATAAGGTGACAACAATTTTTTAACGTGGAAAACCTTCCCGATGTGGAAAGGAAAAACCACAGGACCGTAGTCCACTAAATATCGCCACTATCAACAAATAATAGGTATACAAGAGTTCTCTCTAGATAGAACTAGAGGCAAACAATCAAGAACAACTTACAAATAAGCTTTCTTGGCAACCAAAGATCAAAATACAAAGTTTAGGAAAGATCTCACCAAAACAGGTACTGTTCATGGGCCAAAAACCAACAGTAGAATACTCCAAATCTGATCTCCACCGTCAGAATTTGGAGTCTTGAGTTGTGAACTCGCCTACCAAATTTCAGCTCAATTGGACCACAAATGCTTGTTGATCGGATAGCTTGATCACTGCTGGACAAAATTTATCCAAAACCCTTGGCTTCTCATCTCCTCTCTATTTTGGTGGCTGCTGTGTCTCATTCTCTAAGTTACAGAGAAAGGGTTTATAAAACTACTCATGGGCTAGAACATATGGGCCAAAACATTTCAAAAAACACAACCTCTCCATGTGGGCTTTGGAACTCACATAGGTTTTACTAAATATTTTGGGCCATCTTTTACATAGGAGGGAAACCCAACCCAACAAATCTCCTCCTTTCCGACTAGGCCGAGGGATTCTCTATCCCGGTAATTGAGCAACACGTCTCAAGCTTCTCCCTTACCAGAGCTTTTGTCAACATATCAGCACCATTATCATTAGTATGAATTTTTTCAAGTTCCAACAACTTATGATTAAGAATTTCTCTTATCCAATGGTACCTCACGTCGATGTGCTTCGACCTCGAATGGAATATAGAGTTCTTAGCCAAGTGAATAGCACTTTGGTTATCACAAAACAACACATATTGTTGTTGTTTGAAACCAAGCTCCGTCAAGAACTTTTTCATCCATAGAAACTCTTTACAAGCTTTCATTGCCGCAATAAACTCTGCCTATGTTGTAGAGAGTGCAACACATTTTTGCAACCTTGACTGCCAAGAAATAGCTCCACCTGAGAAAGTGATCAAATAACCTGAAGTAGACTTACGGGTATCCACATTTCTTGCCATATCTGCATTAGTGTAGCCAATTAAAATTGGTTTTTCATTTCCAAAACTGAGTGTCAACCTGGAAGTGCCTCTAAGATATCTCATTATCCACTTTATTGCACTCCAATTCTCTATTCTTGGATTTGAAAGAAATCGGCTAACTACACCAACTGAATGAGCTATATCTGGCCTTGTGCAGACCATTGCATACATTAAGCTTCCTACAGCTGAGGCATATGGAACTCTTTCCATATCTTCGTTCTCTTTATTTGTAGAAGGGCTTTGATTAATGCTTACCTTAAAATGAGTAGCAAGAGGTGAGCTAACCACTTTAGCATTGTTCATATTAAATCTTTCAAGCACTTTTTCAATGTACTGCTCTTGTGACATGTACAATTTCTTCTCTTTTCTGTTTCAATAGATTCGAATACCAAGAATTTGCTTTGTTGGCCCCAAGTCTTTCATGGCAAAGAACTTGCTTAGTTGCTTCTTCAATTTGTCAATTCTTGAAAGATTCCTGCCAACAATCAACATGTTATGCAACTTGATCATTATCCTTTCCATCATGCTCAATCCCTTTCTCCTTGTTCTCTCTCTTCAATTTTCTGCACTGTTTCTTGATGTGCCCTTTCATGCCACAATGATAACACTCAGCATTAGCAAACTTGTTGGACTTGCTTCTACCTCTATCTCTGTTCTTAGGACCTCTGCTTTTGCTTCTCCCCCTCCATGAAGGAAGGCAGTTTTCACATCCATTTGCTCAATCTCTAAGTCTAGACTAGCGGCTAAGCCAAGAACCACACAAATAGAAGACATTTTTACAACTGGTGAGAAGATCTCATCAAAATCAATGCCTTTTCTCTGACTGAACCCTTTAACAACTAGTCTAGCTTTGTATCGTGGTTGTGAAGTGAGTTCATCATGTTTCACCCTGTACACCCACTTGTTCTTTAAAGCTCTCTAGCCCTTAGGTAGCTTCACCAACTCAAAAGTGTGATTGTCATGCAATGATTACATCTTATCTTGCATCGCATCAACCCACTCCAGCTTATGGTCATTTTCCATGGCTTCTGCATAACACTCGGGCTCTCTCCCATCAGTCATTAACACATAGTCATCTGTAGAATACCAAGTGGAAGGATGTCGAACATCTGGTGGTATCTCTGGTGTTGCCAA